TTTTCTTTCTTTCTTTTCTTTTTTGTGTACGTCCATATGCCTCTGTCTTCTTCAATAGATATGTTCTTAATTTCATGCTTTCTTTAACAAATGTTAGTATGGCTGGTGTGCTTTTATTATATTTGTCTCTCTTTGCCTCCTTAAACTGTGCATTAAATAGATGACACAGGCAAGAAACTGAGGCACTGCGACATGGCAGCTGACCTGTCCAGAGGATGCATAATGTCAGCACTGCCCGGCTTAAGGATCCTGACTCTGCAAAAGCACATTTGTATAAGGATATCCAAAAAATTGTGGCTGGCTCAAGATGCAAATTGTGTAATTTTCAGTGGCTCCATGCCCAAGCTGTGCTCTATATCCTTTCCTCTTGGAAAGCCTGCCCACACGCTTGCTCACTTTGCTTTGTGTGTGTTCAGTAGACAATAGAGATAACCAGTCCCTTTTGAGTTGGTGATTTGAGACTTGTTAAACAAAGAATTAGTTCCAATCCATTGTTCTCTTGAGAAATTCCTTCTTTTCTAGCAAGTTTTGTGTTGTTCAAGGGTTAAAATCCAATTTTCTAGTGGTAGAGCCAAGAAATGTTGAACGGAGGGTTAGAGGCTGCCTTGTTGGGTAGATTTATAGAGTTAGTAACAAAACAGTGCTAGAAATAAAAAATCCCATATCCACCAAGCTGTCTCAAGGCAGAGCCTTCACCCTCCTGTTCAGTAGAAGCAGGACATTTCGGAAGCTCTGATGCTTTCTGTCTGTGCTCCAAGCAGGCTGTGCTTCAAGCTAAAGCCCTCTGACAATTCTGTTGTAAATAGGTGTAATTCTCAGTTCATTGCCAGGCGTCACTAGCAGAGATATGAAATATGGACAAACTTGCTGAAGCCAAGTGCTCCGGAAAGGCAGCGGGCACCAGCCTGGATTCCCCTGTCGGTCACACACTGAGTCTTGCAGGGCAGGATAGGTTGTGTTTTTGCTACCATCTGTTGTGCCTGGGGATGCCAATGCAATACCTTTCATTAGCAGGAAACTTGTGTTGTTTGTGGTAAAAACAAACTCGATGTAATGTTTGGGTTTGTGATTGTTTTCTACAACAACTTCTGCTCCTGCATGAATTTGCATGTATGTTAGTATGGACAGTTTTAAGAACAAATTATATGGCAGGAGAATGCTTAACACATGTGAGAGATTATTTAGGATTTTAACTGTGAAATTTGTATTTGGGAGCTGACCAACTTTTCAAGTTCAGCACCCAGAAAATTGCAGATAACTTTGACAATCTTTTATTTAAAGGACATTTCATTAAGCATTGCTAGTAACTGTGAGTGCCATAGGATATCTGTTCCATAGATTACCATGTGCATTTAGTAGCTTCCAGTGAGATGTATATATATACTTTTTTTTTTTTTGCTGTGTATTTAGAACAGATTCCAATTACCATATGAGTAACATCATCTCAGTACTAGTTCTTTCGTTTTGACATCTCTTTTGGCTCCTGGTGCGATTTGGCCCAGTTTTCCAAAATGTTGGTCCTGAGTCCAAATGTAACTTTGTGGGTGGTACATGTGTCAAGCCCTAGTTCAGTATTTTTGGACAGCAGTAGCCGTTCATAAATCTTTTTAAATGAAAAGAAGCAATGAACTTAAATGAAAAAAAAATGCAGCTAGATCTTGCTGGGCACGAGCTTGCCTTCTCTGTTCCCATCTCTCTCAAACTCTCCTCTCCCTCCCCTCAGTTTTTCCATTTGGGAAGAATAAAGGTTTATGTGGCAGAAACACTGATAGGTTTTAGGCTCTCTGGGAGCAGCAAGCAGCAGTGTAGCCTTCTCCTTAGGACCTTTCTTGGCACGTCCTGGTGGCCGCTGGCTTCTTCTGAGATGCAGGTAAGGAAGATGAGGGTGGAGAATTGCAGCCCTGTGTCTGTGTTTGTTGCAAGAGAGAGACAGGCTGAATTACGTAGATGTCTGAATAAGACTGGTTGGCATTTAGAAAAAGCAACAAACCCCCCCTCAGGTTTTCCATATGTCTGTGTTTGATATACCTATTGCTATATTATATCTTTATATGCACTACATTGTCTCTGTAAACAGCACAGGAATGTATAAATGCAACTTTATTACTTAAAGTCAAGTGAAATAGTCCAGGAGGCTGTGAAATAAACAGGAGGTTTTGCACAGCATAAATCAAACAGGACTTCACAGCTTCCTTCCTTCCTCCTCGCCAGTGCCGTTGCAGAGCTGCTAGCTGAAAGCTCCTCCATCATCCTCCTGCAGGAAACCACACACTCATATATTATTAATTCCGTTTTACTAGCAATGTAGGGCCTAGGTGCTTTTCTAGGGGGTCTCAAGTTGCTCTTCAGTGCATCTGTGCCGTTTGCACTGCTACATTTAGAGTTGTAAGCGTTGTTTTTCAGTGTCTGGGTATTTCTTTTCAGGCAATAGCAGTGCCAACAACAAGAAGTACGTTTGAGATGAGGCTTGACACCCAAGTTCCGAGCCCAAGAGGCAATTCATGCAGCAACTACAAAACACATCCCTGCAGCCCTCTGGGCCTTGCTCTCCTGGTCACATCGCTCGAGGAGGCCCAAGCCGTGCCAGCTTCCTGAAGAAACAAGTTAGCTTCATGTCTTGAAGCGTGGCCTCTCGCAGCACCTCTGCCCCGTGTGTCAGGTGGAAGGTGTCCCCTGTGGTGGCTCCGTAGGAGATGCTGAGCTGCAGCTGTGGGGACCGTTCTCATGAAGGAGATTTGGCCAAAGATGCCCGTGTTTTTTCCCCCCTTCCTCCTAGAGCACAATCAGTATGAGGGTGTTCTACATGAAGAGGTGAGGAGGGAAGGAAAGTAAATCCTCCTTTCTGGCTACTTACAGGACAGTGTAAAACACGAGCCTTGGTCTCTCAAGTGTTTTAATTATCTTGCAGCTGATCTAATCCGTGGGTAAAGAATGGCCTCATCTACAACTTTAAAGTGCCTTTTGCAAATAGTTAGCCACACTAGCTTAGTCGTGATAGCTGTTTGTAATAAATATGTTTAGCAGCCGTCAAATCCAGTAGGAATTGTTGTCGTCTTGGCTTTGTGGTTGTGATTTGACTCTGGTGCCCTACACGGCCTCGACTGACCCCGTTTTCCTTGGAGCCCAAGCGCGGCTGCCTGGGCGAGAAGGGTTGGGCCTTGCTGAGGCCAGCGGGGCGTTCGCGAGGCCTCTGCACCATGGGGCCCTGGGGCCCTGGGGCCCTGGCCACGGGTGGGTCGGGCTGCGGTAAAACCAGGCCGATGCGTGCGGGCGAGGGCGGCTGCTGGGGGGCGAGGCAGGGACGCTCGCCTCTCTGCTGGAAATGAAGGAAGGAGCAAGGGCCAAACCCACGACTGACCCCTCCTTCCCAACAAAATGCGGACTTAGGGTTTCAACATTGGGGAAGTTTTATTTTGCTCGCTACGTATAATGATCTGTACCTCCTCTCCCCTCCCCTCCCCTCCCCTCCCCTCCTCTCCTCTCCTCTCCTCTCCTCTCCTCTCCTCTCCT